AACAGAGGATAACTTTCTGGTTGCTTTATTCAATCCTATTTCATGGCAAAATCACTTGGGAACGCATCCACAGGCATCTTGTGATGTAACCCCAGGTTACCCACTGGGTATGACGGGCTCCTCCACGCTGCTGACGCCTGCCCCAAGCAAGGGCGGCCATAAACCATGCTTTGAGAAACTGAGGCACCTGAAAAGAAATAACTATCATAACAAACCTCTTCCAAATACCACCCGAGACCTTCCCTTCTGCTTCCCAGGGAACAGATGCTGTCCACTGGGAAATGCTGGGAGAGATTAGGCTTCAAACCCCACCCGTGAGGCACATACGGACACCCCTATTGTCTGGAGGGGAGCACAGCCCAGTGAAAGGGTGCCATTCTTTCTAAGGCTGGGGACAGAGCACCTTCGATGCAGGATCAGTGTTAGGGAGACCCTGCCCTCCAGGAACTGCGGAGAAAGGAAGTCAGAGTCGGTAAAAGGAACAGAGTCAGACATGGAAACCGCTCTCGGTGTGGCCTCCAGTGGCCTGCAGCATTTCATCCCTGCCCAGCCCAGAGGGCCAGGGCACAGCTCAGATGGGCTTCTGCCCCACCATGCTTCCTGTGGCTGTAGTTGAAAGCTGGAAGGTCCAGTGGTGCCCACAGCATCTGTCTATGAGGGTGACCATCCAATTGACCTGAGCAAAACGCAGCCACTCCATGGCCCCTGGAGTGACCAATACAACAAGCTTCATTCACAGGTCCTTCTTACGGCTATCACATGCCAACCACCTTTCTATAGATTCAGTGGGAAACTAGGACAGGCAAACCCTGCACTCTGGAGGTCCTCATGCGGTTGAAGGATCCAGGGAGTGAGGACCCGCCATAGCAGCTGGTCATCAGTGTCATGAGGAAGGGGACGGAAGTGACGGAACAGAAGACTCATTTGGCACAGGAGGGCCAGGAGGACCTTTGAGAGGTGAGGAAAAGCTAGAATAAAATGAGGCAATAAGCTCGTTTGTCTGTCCAGGACAAGGATCAGGCTGAAAGCAGAATGAAGGAAGCAGCGGTCTGCAGCAGCAGCGGATCAGCTGCTCGAGGGGCAGCACGGAAGCAGCGGGTTTCGAAGGAGAGAGTGAGGAGGGCACCAGGAGCCCAGGGATGACCACACAGGTCCTGACTCATGGTGAGGTGCTGGACAGAAAGCTGCCTTCAGCCAGCTTACCTCGGAGGACCATCACCAGGCTGGTGGGCAGAGGATGGACGGTAGGGAGACGGGACAAGGGCTGGGAGACTTGAAGTGGTTCTGAGAGAAAAGATAGTGCCCTGGGACAGGTTGTAGCAAAGGCAGTGATAAGAAGGGGGCCCATCGTGCAGCTGGCATGGACAGGAACGGTGGAAGGTAAGAGAAAGGAGCCATTAAGTGTGACTCCACGGTTGCTCGTAGGAGCAGTTAGATACTGGGAGGGTGGCCATTTCCAGGTGGGAATTGCTTGAGTAAAAAGAAATCAAGAATCAAAAGCAGAGCACATGCAAATTGAGACACTTAAAAGATACACAAGTGGCGATGGCCCTGCAGCCATGTTTTGAAAGCCATTATCTCCAAATCCTCCGCAGTCAACCTCCCACCATTCCTGGGTCATTCTTGATTTGCTTTCAGATCAATCCCCCCATCACACCCACACCTGGAATCCGGGTTAGAGACTCTTCTCTGATTTTTCAGCCTGCACTGTTTCCCCCACAGAAGCTTTTAATACACCTTTTTTTTGTCTTTTTCTCTTTTGGTCCATTTCTAAGTTGTGTAAGAACAATAACTTCTTCATACCCTGAAAAAAATAGTATAAGTTAAACTACTATTTTAGAGTCTTATCGACAATGTCACTGTCTTAGCAACAACCCCACAATTGTGGAGGTAACAATCTTCTTTCCGTGCAAGGTGAATAGGACTCAAAGTGGTTAAACAGCTTCTCCAGGCGCGCCCAGCTCACAAGTGGAAAAGCTGAGATTTGAATTTGACTCCCTGTGGCTCCAAAGGCCCTATTCTTCCCCACCCATGACTTTCTGTCCCTCTTGCCTGTTCTATAGAGAGCCAATTTAAATATTAATACAAATTCCTTACAGTGATGTTTACCGTGTTTGAAATGTTTGTGTCTACCCAAATCCAAATGTTGGAATCCCAGTTCCCAAAATGATGGCGTTGGGAGGTGGAGCCTTTAGTGGTGAGTGAAGGGGGAGCCCCCATGAGTGCAGCCTTATAAAAGAACCCCCAGGTGACCCCTTGTTCCTTTGCCCTGAGATCACAGCAAAAAGATGCCACCTGTGAGCCACAAGAGCCGTCCCTCAGACACTGAATCTTGGGCTTCTGGCTCCGCAGCCGTGAGGAATAAATTCCTGAGACCTAGAGCTCTCCCTACCTTAGATTAGGATCTTGTTATAGCAGCACAGGCAGAGATGACAGAGCAGACAAGCTGAAAAGATGGTTTGCTTCCCAGCCGTCTCTCTCCCAGCTCCTTTTGAATGTCTCTTTGGCCCAGAATGACTGCACTAAAATTTTTCTATCCCAAAGCCATAAAAGCACAGGAAGTAAAGGGCAAGAACGTAAGGAAAGAAGACGGGGTTAGGAGGAGGTTGGCAAAGTGCTAGCCATTCCCACAGGGTTTGGTCTGCTTTATTTGTTTTAACCCAGAGTTTTCTCTTCTACTCCCTTCCCTGAACACACACACAAGGACACACACACATGTGCACATTCACATGCACACACGCACCCACATGCATTCACACAATGCACACACATGCATGTGTGCACATTCCATGAAATCCTCAGGGCACTCAGAGTCTCCTAAATCTCACTTCCCACCCAACAGGCAAACAAGGGTGTGGTGGGGGTGTGAGGAGCTGGCATGGCCACAGCAGGATGAATGGGCCACCTTTCCCACTGGAACCCAAGGTCCACTTCCCTCAGCTCAGAATTTGAGAGCTCAAGGATGGAAGGAAGGGACAAGCCAGGGTTTGTCTCCTAAGAGCTTCCTCTCATAAACTGTGACTTTGGACAAGTGGTTAAATAAACCTGTGTGGACCTCGGTTTCCTCTGCCTGAAATCAGAGCCTTAACAATATCAACCTCACTAGAAAGCTTGAAGATCAGGTATGTAAAGGAATCAGAACTGTTTGCAAAGCAGACACTCCAAACAAAATAGCAGCTACTTTTATCGTTAGTGTCTTAGGCAGCGTCCCGTGCTATCTTTGGAATGGCAAAAGAAACCCTACCTGCTCCCCTGAACAGCTTGGAATCGCACAATCCACCTGCCCCGCAGTGTGACAGCAAACACAAGACTGATTAACTTTGCCCAGGATGTTTCTAATTTCCAGAGTTCTGCTGGACAGCTTGACTTGTCAGTGCAGAAGAGCACAACCGCGGCTGACCTTTTCAAACAAAGTTAATTGCTGGGGTTTTAAGGTTATGCAGCTGAAATTCTGCCATATATTGATCGGGGGGTACAAATTTCCCACTTAATTTCTAGTTTCCTCTTAAGGAGAAAGTGGGGATTTGCCCTCATACTTCCCATCTTCTCAGGAAGAACTTAAATATTCAAAACCTTTCTGTTTCCAAATCAACTTGGCCAACTGTGTGGCGTGATTTCACCTGTGTAGTCTTTCATTTATCCAATAAATCGCATCAAGCACTTCCAATGGGCCTGGCCCTGTGCCAGACCCAGCAAATACAAAAGACAACTGAATCTAGCAGTCTGGTAGGAGAGAGTGCTGTGAATTAAAAGACTAGACAAAGGCACGTAAACTTCCTCCTGCACTCATGTTGGGTGTGGGGGAGGAGCAGTGGCCACAGGAACGATGTCCCTCATGTCCTGGCAGAATGTGGGTGCCGTGGCTACAGGGGTGCTAAAGTAAGGCAGTTTGTTTTCATTGTCATCTCTGGATGGATATTAAAAGTATTGTTGTAACAAAGGTTTCCCCCTCCTAGGGAAGAGACTTTCACCCAGCCCGGTCTTAGGTGAACCGGGGATGAGACAGTAGACGAGGGACACAGAGAGGAGGTTTCCAGGAAGAAGACAGCCTGAGCATGCGTGGGGAGGAATGGTCAGGAGAGTAGCAGTTCCCAGAGCAAAGAGGAGATGGGTGTCCAGAGAGTGGGGACAGGGGCAGGGCCCTGCAGGTGACGTGCATGATGGCAGTGGGGCAGGCAGGAAGAGGAAAGGGCGCAACGGCTGCAGCGACCACTTTCAAGAGATGCCAGAGCTCCTGATTTTTCTGTAAAATATGCCCATTTTTTGTAAAGCAATTTTTTGACAATCAATTTAAGAACTAGAACACCACCAAGAATACAGCAGAACACTTCTATTGGCCGAGTTGAGCTGACGACCCTTCAAGGAGACGAAATGAAAAAAGGTCCTCACTAGGAGCACTGGGTACCAAGAAAGAGAGGGAGAGCTGAGGATGAGCCAGCGCTGTGGGGAGCGCTGACCAGGCTCCCCGCCTGCACCCCGGGCGTGTGCACACCCCATCCCCATCTTCCAGCTTCCTGGTGTTGAGCCTGATCATTCACTTCTCTTTCCCAGGACTCTGGAGACTCCTCCAAAGCAGAAATGATCTTTATCACCTTCCTATCCACTCTGACGCTGGACACAGAAGGACATGGCAGACACGTTTGAGGTGGTATTGAGCAGCTGGGCTCCTGTGTCCTTGCATATCATCTCCCCACCTCTCTATGCATGTAGATGACTTCGCACTCACTCTGAAAGACAGCCCGCCCCTTGCTGAGCTCCTGCTGTCCGCCCAGCCCCATGCTGCTTACTTCGAGGGCATCATCCCAATTCAGCCTCCCGACCTTTAAGAGATCCCAAAGATCCTTTTGCCCCTCCCACCAATGAAGAGATGAAGGCCTGAAGAGATCAAGAACCTTTCAGAAAACACACAGCTAGCACCTAACAAAGTTAGGAACTGATTCCAAGTCATACGTACGTGAAAGTGCAAAATTTTATCCACCATGAGGACACAGCCAGTGAAATGAGACCAAAGGTTATTGGCATGAAAGTTACCATTTTTTCAGAGACGGTTACAAAGATGGTTTTTTCAGAGATGGTTACAAAGACGGTCACCATCTTTGGCTTGGACATGCTGCCGTGGGTGCAATTTGCTTACCAGCTCGTTCTCTTGGCAGTTATTATATACCTCACAGATCTGCGTCCTCCTCAGCTTAGAGGGAGCCAGGAGGAGAGAGACTGGATTCTGCTGTCTGCTGCCTTCTCAGCACTAAGATGAACACAGACAAACAAGCCGCCAGGACGCCAAGGAAGAGGCATCATCTGGCCATCTTTTTCCAGTTTCTCCAGCTGTGTAGTGTATAGAGCGGCTTAGGAAGATGCCCATGATGTAGGATTCTGCAGCTAAGCAGATTGTAGAAACATATGCAATAGGATCCCGTTATTATAATGAAAAGTATAATAAATGGTGTGAGCTTTACTTCAATAAAAATAATTTAAATGCTTCTATGTGCATAGGAGAAGGGCTGTGGGGAGACTGAAACGGCTCACAACGGTAAACCGTGTGTGTCTGTTAGTTTTTGTTGTTCTGGCTTTTATTCTTGTTAATTGCATATATTCTTAGGGGCAGTGTTTTAATTTCTTGCAAATATACACTATAAAATGATCCAGGCAGGGCAGTTAGGACATGGGTCCCTGAAACATCAGTCGTTCAGCTCCTCCCTTCTTGTTCTTTCTAAAGTACCCGGTGCTTTGAGGAGTGGTGGGAGACCGCAGCAGGGAAGAAGGTGTTTGCTTCTCAGTCCTACATTGTTAAATATTTCACCAAACACGTATGTTACTTTGCATTTGGAGAGACTAAATCTAAAAGCGAGGCCCATCCTGCCCTCGGTGTATCTTCAAAGTGCAGCCCCTGTGGGGAACACATCCGCCCCAGGCTGAGCCCGCCACATACAGCAAAGCCTCCCCCTCACCCATCACCTGTAAGCGACAGCTCTGGCTGAACCGGATGCAAAACATCAAAGTTCTAACATGGGCGGGAGACGAAAGCCTGCTTTCACGGTACGTTTGGTATTAATCACAACAGCAAGGTGCTGCGCCTCTTCCCTGAGCGCCTCTTCTGAGACAGACACTCAGCGGAGACTTCTATCACATACCAACCCCTGGATCATCACAGAAGCCTGCGAGGAAGCGTCCATTGTTAGCCTTGCTTGTTCAGAAAAGGAAGTTGATGCTTGAAGAGGTTAAGTGATGTCACACAGTCTTAGGATCACACAACAGGATTCACGGTGAAACCAGCTCTCAGCAATTCAGCCACTGGCCTGATGTTTTATAAATATATCAGCAAGAGTCGGTGCTGACGTCAGCCACCCTGGCCCGGTCTGCAGCAGCAGCACCAGGTGAATGTGTGCTGGTTACTGGGGAAGGCATTCTGTGACTTACTCAAAGTCATATAAGCAATGATTTGGTCCGCTCCCGCATTCTGTAACATAGGTACATTACTCTATCACTTCTGAGTTAAGAAACTAAAGTCTGGGAGTGGTAGAGCAGATCTGTAATCCCCGCATTCTTGGAGGCTCAGGCAGGAGGATGAAAGCTCAAACTGAGCAACTTGGCAACTCGATAAGACCCTGTCAAAAGAAAATAGAAAATTTAAAAGGAGTTGGGACTGTACCTGAGTACAAAGGCTCTAGGTTGAATTCTCAGTACAAAGGAGAAAGAGGAGAGTGGGAGAGAAGGAAGGGAGAGAGAGGGGGAGGAACAGAGGGAGGGAGGGAGAAATGGGAAGGGGGAGAAAGGGAGAGAGGGAAGAAGGTGGGGAGGGAGAGAGAGACTAAAGTTTACAGTGGTCTTATCAATGACCTGAATGGCACATCAAAAATTATCCACAAACTACAGACTAATAACACCAAGCTACTTATGAAGTTAATATTATTAGAACAAAAGCAACTTGCTGCTTGGCTTGGCTTTAAGGTAGTCTCCAGATGACTCCAGTGCACCTTAACAGTTTCCCATTTTCTGCTGTCAGTCAAACCGCCGTAGCGATCTGTTTCTCTCCCTCCAGCTCTTATTACAATGCACCAGGTTGAGTCGAGAGAATGTTGGAACAGTTGTACAGCGGAGAAATGCCCTTGATTTTCACAATGGAGAGGAAAGAAATTCAAAACTTCCGTGAACATCTGCCATCCCGACTATGAGTGAAATGTCAGCAGAAACACAAGTCATTATGAGATCTATAAATACAAAAGCAGGTTCTACAATAGTGTCAGATACACCCAATGTCAAAAACTGAGCTGGCAGGTAGAGCTAATATGCTAAACAACCCACAGCTTCTTTACTCCCCCCATTAATCCCAGGAAATCACTTCATCTGTAAGCTGGAAAATCTTACGTGATATTTTTAAACTGAAAAGGACCCTGGAGGTCTTCAAGTCCATCCCGGGCCCAGAGGGCTAATGACCTTCCCATCCAGCAGTGGACTCCATAGTCAATGAAAGGAATAGGATTCTAAAAGAGCTTTGTATAGGAAGGAGTCTTGGAAGGCCAATCATGTCTTCAAGCTGGGCCTTCTGCATGCTGCTTTGGCTACTACGAGTCTCCACATACTGCTCCACAACTGGAACCAGAAGGGTTTTTTCCAGGTTGTTCAGAAGACAAATTAGCTGCAGGATAAGAGACTATGATGGGGGGGGGGTGGACAGTGGAAGGGTGGGTGTCACTTGTGGTCACACAATGGATCATGTCATTCCAAAATCAGCATGTCTAAAAAAATCTTTAACACTTCATACAAAGATGTCAAAAAACCATTCAGTACACAAAGAAGATGGTGTCTTCGTTTCCTTGTTGCTGAGACAAAATACCCAACAGCCACAGTTAAAGAAGGAACAGTTTATTTGGCTTGCAGTTTGCAGAGGTTTCTGTTAATAGTTGGCTGGCTTCAAGGCTGGGTGGCAGATGGCAGGTGGCATAGCAGAGGAGAAACAGCCTACAGCAGGCAGGCAGCAGAAGTGAGCATGGCAGCAAGTGACTATAGCAGGCTCTTTCTGTCCCTTTTACATTCTATCTAGGCTACCTGGCTTAGGGTGGGTGTCAAATCAGTCACACACCTTAATCCTAGTGCCCTTAATCCTAGCATTGCACCATGAATCAATCCCATGATCACTCAATCCAGACTGAGTCACCTCTAAAAAAGCCTCACCTATGATCACATGAGGTTTTGGGGGGATATTTAGACACTAGCCATAACATATGGATGATAGATGAGTGGATGGATGGATGAATGGATGGATAGATTGGGTGGATGGATGGATGGATGGATGGATGGATGGATGGATGGATAGGTGGATGGATGGATGGATGGATGGATGGATGGATGGATGGATGGATAGATGGGTGGATGGGTGAATGGATGGATGGATGCATGCTTGGATGGATGGGTGGATGGGTGGATGAATATCTGGGTTAACCAAGTTGTCATGGCTAATGTTTTGTTTCCCTACCTATTAAAATACAAAAACAGTAATAATAATAGCAACAGTACAATAAAATGTATAACCAATAAACATTTGAGTCTTTATCCATTCTCATGAGTTTTTATGGAAGTGTAGATACTCTTCATGGTCATAGCAATCATCTGTAAAACTGTCTGTACAGTTAAACCCCTCACATCCTCTATATGGAAAACTCTCGCTACTCCTGAAATCCTTCCAGGAAACCCAGCCAACATGGCTCTTCTGCTTTTCTTCCCATTACTTCTTGGCCCATTTTTTGTTTGTTGCATTCAGTAATTTCCTTGGGCTTCTCTGCTATCCTACTCTTTTATTTCCTTTGCCCACTACTCAGTTTCTATTTAATCAGAAAGTCAGAGGGTGACACCACAATTTCTTTTTAGAGTTAAAAGTGAGCCAAAAATGAGATTAAAAAAACAATAAATTAATCTCTTTCCTCTCATTTATATATAAATTTACACAGATTTTCAAGATATGTTTCTGTACGTAAGCTGAAAAGTTTGCTATTTTCTTTTATCAGTGTAGTTTGTGCAAAAGCTGTTTATAGGTGACATCACAGCAAGAGCTACTACAGAAGTCTGCAGCATCAAAGAACTCTATCACTGAAAATTTTCAGGAGGAAGTTACTGCAACCAAGTGGAGAAACTTCAATCTCTCAGAATCCAACTCAAACTTAAAAAAATTTTTGCAATGGATCATATAGTGGACATTTAATAAACCCTTGTTGAATTCAGGGATACAGAGAAAAGAATAAAGCTGAATTCTTCTAAGACCCCAAGAGTGCTACATTTTTTTAATTCAGGTTTTTGGGTGTTTGAATTAACTAGTGGCAAGAGAATTTCATTTCCTTATTGAAGCCAATTTTTACTTCCTTTAACCAAAATGCACATAAATACTCTTTCCTCCAGCTCTGTTAATGAGGCCTAGCAGAGGTGCAGGCCTTTACCTAATCACATCTGATAATCTGATTCTGGGCTGATTTCCACCGCTGGGGTTTTGTGAACTGGAACTTTGGTCCTGAGCAAAAGAGGTGAGAAGGTCTGGGTAGAGGCAGGAGTGACAGAGAAGGAGAACAAACATGCAGGGTGTTTGTTTGATAGTCAGACAAAGCCAATAGGAAAATGACAGTCACCAAAACCCTCTCAAACTTACTTTTCTTTGTCAGCTAGGAATGTCACCTGTGTTTCATCATCTTGGGCCTACAAAGCCTAAGGTCACACCATGCCCCATCACCACCATGACAAGACTTCATGTGGAAAACATGCAAGCTCCTTTTTGATACTCTCTTTTTCAACATTCAGAATGGGTTTTATGTCCAAATGGATCTGAAAGAAATCGTTTTAGAATTTTGTCACTGCTCATTGCAAACACCTGCTAGAGATGCCCTGGTGCATTTCATCATTATTAAAACAGGAACCGAAAATAAATAAATAAAATGCACCAAAGAAGGAATCCATCTAGGGCCCTGGTAATGCGATGATTGGGAAATCACATCTGCATACGTAGATGATTAGAATTAAAGAACGCAAATATTTTCATCACTGGTGTAACTCTTTGTAATGGATTTCGGTAAATGCATGGTGTCTGCTCTAGTGTTGTCCAAGGTTGATAAATGGGCATCAATTTTTCATTTTGAAGCGTGATTTCCTTTTGCAATTTGCCAAGTGCCTTTCCATGCCCCATTGGAAGATTGTCCCATGAACAAAGCTCCTTCAGGGAAGACAAGTTAATTATCTGACTGCCACTCAGATTGCTGGCTGCTGGAAACAGAACTCTTCATCAGCTCCAATGGTGAAGCAGCAACATGGTGTCAGAGCCCTGCAAGAAGGACCAGTGCATGGGGAAATTGGGGACCAATGGCTAAGAACCCGGATGAGAAACCAGGCAGACTTGGCTACAGTCCTCCCCTGACTAGCAGTAGAACTTTGAGCAAGTTATTTAATCTCTGTGTGCCTTAGTTTTCCCATCAGTAAGATGGAAATAATATTACTTCCTAAACTGTAAGACTACAATAATGTGTACTGAGCTCCTGGTGTATTGTAATTATTGAATAAATATTTTCTGCTCTGAGAAACTGTCAGGTACAGCTTCCTTTGATCCGCCAGAAGATACAGGAGTTCTTTTATGAAGTTTCCCTAGACATCATTGCAATTTCCTTGCTTCCTATGTTGAGTGGCACAAATTAGTAACTTCAGTAAGGACAAAAAGTATATTTCCTGAGACTGGCTCTTCAAGATTTCCCATGGACAACACATCTCTGCCCATTGGGAAGGCTTTTCTAGAGGCAAAGTACCCCTAGGAAACCTCTTTCTCTTTGAGCATGAATTTGTGATATGTTCACATAACCAGTACACCTACAAATTTATTTTTTGTCATCTAATTATTAAGGTGCCAAATTGAAGAGGCCTGGGATAATGCCATTCCTCTAGTTAAGATAATTGGTTTACTCTAAGAAACAGAAAAAAGGGGGGGCGGGGCAGGGAAGTCCCTTCGGTTTAGTGCTTAAACATTCGAGGTGTGGGGTGCATATTCTAATCTGAGTTTCAGAAGAGAAAAATAAACAGTACAAGAGCCAAATATGTATTAATTATGGCTTATTTATTTAGTGCCACTGATGTGTATCAGGCTGTGCAAAGGGTAATTTGAAAGGGGAAAATAAGGTCCCAGTTCAAAAGAGCTTACCATCTCAGAATTCGTTACCCACCTCTCTGAGTACTCCATCTTGAAATTAGCGACTGACAATGATTTTTAAAAAATGAAGTTAAAACCATAGTGGATGGCACAAGAGAATACTGGCCATGTTGGCACACATCAAAGGAGAATTCCCATCGCCTATTCCTAACTCTTCAGATCCCTTTGGGAACCAGATTCAACACAACCTCAAGGCAGGCACAGTGGTGCTGACCTTTCTTAGCCTAGCTAACTACTAATTTCCAGTCACACAGAGAAAAGCTCCAGTTCCTCTGACCAAGCAATTGCCTCTTCCTAAGCTGCCATCAAGAGAATCACAGTCCTAGCAGCAACATGGAGCTGTGGGATCTTATGGATGCAATTACAGAAGAGACACCACTTCAGAAACGCCTGCTCAGTGACACGGGAATCCTGAACCTGAAAGTTTCCATG